TGGGATGTATGAAGTTCGAGGAATAGATCTTCTGATTACACGTAATGTAAAAAATTAGCTCAATTTATGAAATTGATTAGGATATACATTCGATAATGAAGACTCCTACGCCCGGTCAAATCAGCGGTTGAAAATGTTTCTGTTGTTATAAGCTGTGGCCAGTTGGAATTGCTTGCGAACGTTTCGATCACATCTGCACTAAATCTCATCAAACGCGATAAGGTAACAGTCAAAATTGTCTTCAAAAAGTCAAAAAGTGCTTTTAGAAATCAATAATAACTGCGCAACTACTGCAAACCGTTTTTTTGTGAGCCGATCATATAATTTTTTAAATTTGCTTGCATTGTTTCTCATAAAATTTTTGACAAAAGCAACACAAACTCTATACAGAGCAAGCTTTTAAAAGAATGTGAGTTCATCGTTAACAACTTGAGCCGAAACTTTACATTACATTTCTTTAATTTATCGATAAAGTGCGTGCTCATTGTCAGTTCATAATTAACACTTTCCAAATATTAGAAACTCGTAAACAAGAATCATACAAATCGTAACTTACTCTGGCTTCTTGGTCCCCAATAAGACACACAGCCCTTAGAGACGGACACCATTTCTTGAACTCAGTCATCCAATTGGAAAGCGTCGATTTTGGAACAATGACAATGTGAGGCCCTGCCGTGTTCTTGTAGTGCTTCATAAATCCCAGCAAAGAAATGGTCTGCAATGTCTTACCCAGACCCATCTCATCAGCCAAGATACCATTGATTCCTGTAACAGAAAATGAGTTTTAAACCCTTTCACGTGTGACACCGAGCAAAATTACCGTTTTCATACAAGGATATCATCCAGTTCAAGCCTCTGATCTGATAGTCACGCATTTCTCCGCCCTTAATGTATGGGGGCGAAGCCTCAAAGCGGATCATGGCTTTTGTTTTGGCATTGGTTTCAGCCAAAAGTTCCTCATCTTCTTCTTGTTCTGTTTTGCGATGTCTGTGATCCGCCGCAGCCTCCTCTTTAGTTTTCTTGGGCCTGCCAGGGGCTTTGCCCTTGGTGGGAGTCTTACTTTGGTTCATAAAGTGAGAGAAAATTTCGGTTTGCTTAAGCAGGTAGTCGAAACGTCTGCCTCTGTCAGTTTCCAGCTTGGTATCGAAGTCGTCATTTTTGGAATTGGCATCTGACGAGGATTCATTATCATTGGTCTGAAACAATATGCAAATACCGTATTAATGCTTTCTTGCAGGGTTTTTCACCATGAAGACATAGAGTCGCATCAAACTGAAGCAATGTTATGAAAAATCACATGCAACTTACGGCGCTTTCGGCTATTTCGGTTACATCCGGTGTTTCCTCGGCCTGCGACATTTTCGCCTGGTTTTTTATATATTTCCCTCACTAACAAGGATTTATCGTGAAAAAGCGAGCGGAACACGATAACAACAACCACAATACCGCCGGATTTTCTGTCTTAACTTAACCATGTCTTAACAGACGAACGGGAAATTTTTGACATGGTGACATTGACTGTTACCAGCAGTGTTGTCTACATAGAGTAAGTAAAATTTTAAATTATTTTACTTTCTCTATGGTTGTCTATACTCAGACAGTGATGACAAGCAAACATTTTATTAAATTATTTTCAGTATTTCTATGCAATAACTTATTGATTATTGCTTAACTTGTTGAAATAATCTGTCTGTTGTAGCGGTTATAAACGGAAGAAAAAAAATATATAATTAAGATAAGAGTTAATTTTAAGTTAAGAAAATAAATTAGTCCCGCACTTCCCAGTTAAAGTGATTTTTGATTTACAATGCTTATAAAATTAATCTCAATTTTATAAAATCCATCACTGCATTTAAAATAGCGGCAAACCCGAGAGTTCTTCTTCCACTTCCAACACAAAGAGCAAGAAGAATTTGGCAGGTTGTCATACTCAAACCTATTAGTATTTTTGAAAAAGTGTTTTTGTTTTTTCCAAGGTAATCCTTGTTGTTATTTACATGTAAATAAGTAATTTAAGGAAATAATTACATCTAAGCAAAACAAGCAAATATGCTTTTCTAGTTGCGAAGGAGACAATGACAGCCACTTGCCCCCCTTGCCAATTTCCATACGCTGTTTTCAATTTTTTCAAGTTATAAGAAATTCGCGCGTGTTCAAAAGCTTGCAAACTTAATAATCCACTGTCCATATCCAAAATATCTAAAGTACAAAAGAGCTTGTTTTTGGCTACTGAAAATCCCATAACTTGCATTTCATTATCACACACACATTGCATGTCAGATAATAATCCTAATAGATAATTCTTTGGTAATTTTATAGTTATCAGGCTCTCGCGATCAAACTGCATAATATGCTCATCTGATACTAAATTTTAGCATTTTAAACCTCTAATGTCGGCAATAGATTGTGAAAACTGTAAGTTACTGCTTGCCTTGCAAACCTTCGTTTCGAGACTCACATTTACAAAATTCAATAAATTCAGGATTTATTGAAATTTATATGGCAATTTTAGCATTTTATGCCTCTAGTATCCGCATTGGACCGTTAACATGTTACTATACGTATACAATCTGTTTAATCACGTCTTTCTAAGTGTTGTTTTCTGTGGAAATGCGGTTTTCTGCCACTTTTCACTTATTAAAATTCGCTAATTTTACATAAGATTTATGAGGTCAAGAAGGTTACAGGAAAAAAATCTTAATTTTGTTAATTTTAATTATTTATCTTGACCGAACATAAACATGTTTTACATGGTTGAAGAGCATATTTAAAGGAGAATTTAAAAATGCAGAAATTCAATATGGCGCCCATAAGAAAAACAAAAGTTGACTTCGGCCTCAT